TGGTCTTGATCTATATAATCTGCAATTATATTTTTAAGCCTGTTTGCAATGATAGATGTAAAGATTTTATAATCGCTATTAAGAAGCGATATTGGTCTGTAAGCCTTAGGGTCGGTGGTGTCTTTTCCTTTTTTAGGAAGCAGAATTACTGTAGCTGAACTCCAAGTTGCAGGCATTTTGTGCGTTTTTAGTATTTCATTACAAGCTTTTTGCAATGGTTTATTAAGTAGCGTTTGAAATGCCTTGTAATATTCGGCTGTAAAGCCATCAGGGCCCGGTGTTTTGTTATTTTTTAAGAGTTTGATTGCCTGGTCAATTTCAGTTAATGAAATTTCTGTTTCCAATTGGTCATAGTGTTCTTTGTTGAGTTTAGGCATATTACAGTTTTGAGATAAATAAGAATTAATATCTTCTTCCTGTGGGTTAGTTGAGGTATATAGTTTGGTATAGAAAACAACATCATCTATATGACAGCACTTCAAGTACTTGAAGACAGTTATCATATCACCTCTCAGTTGCCTCCTCTCCAGGCTAAACATACCGAGCTCCTGCAACCTTTCCTCATAGGACTTGGTCTCCAGACCCCTCACCATTTTCTTGCCCTTCTCTGGACACGTTCCAGTTTGTCTATGTCCTTCATATATCATGGTGCCCAAAACTGAACACAATTCACATCACCTAATACCTGATCCACTTTACAGGAGATGATGGGGACTGAACCTGAGAGCTTCTGCACAGCAAGCAGATGCCCTACCACTGAGCCACGGCTCCCTCCTCCCTCTGTGGTGCTACCCTAAAAAGAAAACAAAGTGACTCACTGAAGGGGCTGGGTCTTCAAGCAGCGATTTCCAAATCCTGGTTTTTTTAGGAAGGCGTCAGTAAGAGAAGCCATCTGATCACTTCCAGGCCGCTCATTGCTAATGAGATTGGATGAGATTTAGGCTATAAAGAGATGTTGAATTACAGAAGCAGCACTGGTACAAAACAAAAATGAACTGATCGCACAGAGAGGGTCATAGAAGAAGCTAAGCATCCACTGCCCATAATAAGATAAGGCATACAAGCTATAACAGGATTGTAAGAAGAACTACAGAATGTCGTCTTTGCCCTTGACCAAGGTACTGATTTCCAAATGAAGTCAGTATCTGTATCATGCGGATACAAACATGCTACCCTCCCTAGCTGCTAATGAGGACATTTTTCAAATGTCAAATACAACTAAACTGCTATAACAGAATTCCTTTTTAAAAAAATATTGGCACTCCTTCTCTCCTGTTTATCTAGTTGCCTACATCTTTTCACATAGCTCTCTATCAGAGTCTGGTTCACACAATTTCAACTCTGGAAATGCTGTATGAATGATGGGGCATGCAGCAATCTTGAGGGACTCAGTCCTATAGGATATACTACCGTAGTAATGGCTATTGGGTCAAATTAGAATAATAATGGAGGACAGGCCCATCAATGGATAGCCACAATGGCACCACAATTCTGAACGACAGCTGCTAAGGGCAACAAGGAGAGACTCTGTGCCCCTGCAGTGCACCTTCCAGAATATCTGGATCATCACAGTTGGGGGAAAAGATGCTGGTATAGATGAAATTTTGGTCTGATACAGCAAGCCTATTTATGCTGAAACGAAATAATTTGGCTCAAATAATAATTATCATACACTAGAGTAAAGGATCTTCACTGGTTGCTACCATCAATATTATTAGGTTTCCATAAAATGGCTACAACAATTTTACTTCTTGAACACTATACCACCTAGGCAGAAAGAAAATGCAAAATTTAAGTGAGGAATGGAGTGGCCTCACAGTCTGAAAAAAACTGGGAACTAGTTCACAGGCACCAACTGAGATCAGCCACACTTGATTTATATTGGAGTAAAGCAAGAGAAAACTGAAGCCCACTCAGCAATGTCATCACAAAATGCTATGTAAGAAGGTGTCAGCAAAGAATGTCTACTTTGAATATTTACATGTTCTGACCTGAAGAACATGAACTGGTGTCCATAGATCCAGGGGTGGAGAGTTAAACTGGGGTATTCACCAAATGGTGGGATGAGGTATGTAAGGACCAGAGCCAGCAGCACAAAACTAGCAGGGAGAACAATCTGCAGGCAATGTGAAAAATATCAGACATTTGCAGCGTGAAGCAGAATCCATAAGTACACTCAGATGATACACAACACACAGTGAGGGAGGAGGGCTGGAAATCTACTTTGGTCTTATAACTTACACCAAAGGTGATAGGCACCAACCTCTAGTGTCAAATCTGCTACAAACTCAAAATCCTTAGAACCTCAAGATTTTATACTGAAAAGAGGCATCTTCCTAAGGCAGTGAAGGGAAAATTAAAAGGACAGGGTCTCCTAATGGCCAGAAGCCACAGATAATCTGTATGGAATTTCTAGTGCCTGAGGAGCAGAATTTCATGGACCATTTTGCTCCTCATTCCCCACCCATGATAAGCTCTCAGAATTAGAATTTCCTCTTCACTATCATAACATGCTGCTTTCTTAATTGCAGGGGACTGCAGTCCTTGACAATAATGTGTACCATATACAGATCAACCGGGTGGTCTGAAATAGATGTGACATCTATCACATGACCACAAAGGGTCAATCACACTGGCAATCATACTGCCTCTGGAGGTTTCCTGTGGCAACTCCATCCTGAAGCCCTGAAGGGACCCAATTCAGATCAGGACTACTACACAGGAGGAGGAGAGGCTTCAGTCTTTCCCCCACCCCATGCTGTTTTCTTGACCTAAAATGATCCCAAAGGAGGGTTATTTGCCCCATTGGGGGCTGTATATGCATATGCAGGCCCTGTGATAGTCACATGATAGATGTCAAGTCTAGTTTGGGCCCAAGATCTTACCGTCTAATCTTAGATTAGGGTAGGTAACCCCTAGCACATGTGATAAACACTCTTGCTTGGCATGCAGAGTCAGTTCTCCAGCCAAGGGAACTGAGGTGAGTTACTGAGAAGCTGGCAGGGCCAATGGGGCTGATCTTGCTAACAGGGCATCTGACCAAATCCAGCCCTCATCTCTCCTCTTTCCATTTGTTTGTCAGCACAACCAGGATGATCACAGGTAGATGCTTGCTGCAGGTTTTTTTTGGAAAGGGGAAAAGGCTGCCTTCCTTGACTGTAAGGAAACACAACCATAACTTGATTTGTGGGAAGTGATTCATCAGACAATTCAGGCATAGAACCGGGACAGTAGGATCTATGACATGGAGAGGTACTTTTCCAGAAAGATTGCACTTCATTGCACCTCAAATAAACTCAGGGGTAAATATGTGAACTTCATGAAAAGGGAAATTCAGTGACTCTGATAAGTACATACCTGAGCAAAGAAGTCTTTAAGGCTACGGGTACTGTGGTGAAATCGTTTGATGAGAAGTGCTTTGATGTGCTGAAGGATAAGCTGGTAACCTTTATTCTGCCTGGACCCTTTGCCTTCACTCCTATCTTGTTTTGGAGTCACAGGGGTTCGAGAAGTGCCATTGGTTGCCAGAGGAGGTTGGTGGGCTTCCTCTTCTCGTCCAGCTTTTGCCTTTTCACCTGTGGAATCATTCCGCTGTGTGACTCCTAGTTTTAAGAATCAGAATGACCATGCCAATTAGTTCCTTTCAGGACTCACTGAATGCTACTTCCAATAATGCTACTCCTCATGATATTATATGTGTCCTTAGGTCTTAGAGCTCTAGCAAATGCATGGTTTCCCTAAACTACATATTATAACAATGAGACATATTAAGGGATTTTTGTAGGTCTAGCAGAAAGCAGATGCTTCCTAATTTTGAACAGGCTCCTAATTTCTGAGCAGCTGGTGAGCTTTCTCTTCATACCTTGATCCTGGGTTTTCATTACAGCATGAGGCCACAGTTAAAAGAAGCTGCCTGGCTTCTCTGTGCACAGTCCCCATATTTAAATAGGAGGGGAGGGTCATAGTTCAGTGGTAGACCATCTGTTTTGCATGCAGAAGGTCCTAGGTTTAATCCCTGACATCTCCAGTTAAAAGAATCAAGTAGTAGGCGATATTAAAGATCTCTGCCTGAGACCCTGGAGAGCTACTGCCAATCTGAGTAGACAATACTGACTTCGATAGACCAATGGTCTGATTCAGTATAAGGCAGCTTCATGTGACCCCCCCCCCCCCCAAGCCTGCCCACACTGGAGACTGCCTGGTAGTGATTGTTGCTGTCTCCTATCCCAGTGGGAAGAAGGAATAGGAGTGAAAAGTGCAACCATATAAGGGCCAGACCAGACGAGAGATCTGTGATTGTAACACAGGAGCAGGAACTCATTAGCATAATAGGCCACACCCCTGATAGCACATCTCATTAGCATATTAGGACACACCCCATGCCTTCCCTTGGCTTGCCTGGGCTCCCCGTGGCTAGGGGAGGCCGGACAAGCCCCCCCTTGAAAGGAAGGCAGTTTAAACTGCCTTCACTTGGCTTGCCCGGGCGTCCTGCGGCTGCGGGGAGCTCAGGTAAGCCGGCCCTTAGAGGGGAGAGGAGGCAGTTTAAACTGCCTTCCCTTGGCTTGCCCGGGCACGCCGCAGCTGCAGGGAGCCCGGGCAAGCCCCCCCCCTTGCAGGGAAGGCAGTTTAAGCTCCAGGCCTTCCCTCTGTAGCCATGCGTGCAGAGGTTTTGGCTGTAGTTGGCGTGGCCAACTTTGAAACCAGCCGGAACTCCGTTCCTGTGCGTTCCTGCCCAAAAATAGCCCTGGTAACACCCACAGTGTTTTTTACAGTTCAGTTAAGAGCCATGCAGAGACCTGATTCTGATCAGGACTACAATGGGGAGAGGGGTTAAAATATTTCCCCCATGCTGTTGTCCTGACTAGAAATCGTCCCCAGACTGGAGTAAACATTTCAATATTTGTATCAGTACCCATATCAGTATTGGTATGCTTCCACAACAGGGCAAATAGCCATTCCCCGAGGGCCATTTCAGTTTAGGAAAGGCCCCTCCCTTCTTGCCACAGTCCCACTCAGAATTGGGCTCTTGGGTACATGATAAATGATTGTTTTAAAATGCTGGGTTATTTAAAACAGCGCATTGCCATTACAGATGTAGGTTTTGCATTTACTTGCCGCTGCTAACTAAACAACAGCAGCAACACGGAAAAAGCAAGCCTGGAAGATTCAAGTATGCAGTGTAAATACTAGCCTTCTACACACAACTCCCCTCCACACATTGACTCAACCTGCCCCCCCCTCCCTATGATTGCCAGGTCATCAACATGGTATGAACACTTGGAGGACGTGTCTGTGCATACACTCTCTCCCTGTGATACAGCCATGGCTTTCTGAATGTTGCCAGTCACAGGGGTAGAGAACATACGTGGCGAGGTGGGTGGGTGGGTTATTTGGGAAGCAGGACCAGCATGCTCATGCCCACTCTCCCTCTCAGTATGTTCATTCAACATGTGGAGGGATCACGTTTACAGGGCAAGAATCTTTGTTTACTCCTTTCATTGTACACATGTTGCACATCGCTTTACACAAGAACAAAGCTGAACTGGTCTAACTCCCCCAAAGCCTAAAGCATGATTCCCTTGCTTGTAATTGACAACTACAACTGCTGCCTGCCCATAGTCTATGCAAAACGTGGCACCAAGACTGGCTCACAGTCACCCCAAGTGAGCTACCTCCTGTGCTGCCCCCACAAGGTGCAAAACAGCAACAGAAGCATGGATGGGGTGGGTGGGCTGGGGTCAAGAAACAGGGGCTTTGAATGTTAAATAGTCTTCATCTCTAGCTGGCTCTCACCTGTTCTTTGCCTCCTCACTTATTATAATCAGACTCGCTAACTTTGGAATGCTCCAACCAGATAATTTCCAGTATTACCTGGTAATATTACCTGGTAATATTTCAATGTTACCAATATTACCTGGTAATATTTCTGATCCAATGTTGCCTGGTAATATTTCTGAACCAATGTTGCCTGGTAATATTTCTGAACCATTGTATACACATCTAAAACATGCTCACAGATGTCTCTGGAAACCAACTCCACATTGCTTAGCAACTAAGTAGATAGTGGTCCATCTGGTCCAGTGTCATTTTTCACTATGACCAATGTTCCCTCTAATCCCCCCCCCACACTGAGCAGAACAGTTCACATCCTGAGCAGAATATAACTGATCGTAGTTTTAAAATGGGCAATGAGCAGATTGCTGCTGAGCAGGGCTTCCTGTGTTAATAAGTGTCCGCTCATGCACACAGCTTAGAGGGAACACTGACTATGACTAGTAGTCATTAATAGACCTATCCTCCAAGAATCTGTCTAATCCCCTTTTAATAAGAGGGGCATGATCCAGTCAAATGGACCACTGTTCTTATCGAAATCCATCTCTAAAAGAAGCATAGCAGGCATACACAGTGCAATCCAAAATTAGTTACTCCAGTCTACACCTATTGATTTCAGTGGGCTTAGACTGAAGTAACTCTGCACCCTAGGAGCGCAGTGATAGTCACATGAATTATCAGCAGCAAAGATATTATGAACTATCGAAGGAAGACACATCACAGCCAGACTTGAAGTTATGACAAATCTGTGGCTACTGCCAAAAATGGTAGCTGTATGCATAGCCCATGCACTTTCCAGGAACTTCTAAAACTTGCCCAGGTCCTGATGTCACAACATCCCTTGGTTCCTTACTCCCACCCAGTCAGTGGCAGCCAATGACATGAACCACAGACAAAGAAACACAGATCCTTATTATGTCAGGACATGGAAAAATCCTTTTAAATGGCAGTGGAAGAGGGAAACTATAATGACTGACCATTATTTTCAGATGCAGATGTTTAGCATAACATTTAGTTTGGTCATTAGGCACTGGATCGTGGGGCATTTACCTGCATTTTGTGTTCCAGCTGTAACCTTCAAGAAAACCTGCAAGAGAGATGCATTAGAATATTAGTGGGTCACTTACGAGACACTCAATATATCATTTCCCCCTGCCCAGGTATAATACTAACAAAGGGTATTGCTCATTTACCAAATAACACAAATCAGATTTGCTAGAGGGAGGAGACAGAAAAAAAGGAGAACAAATAAAGGGGAAGAAATTGTACTGTTAGGTCTCTTACTCTTTAACCCACAAGTAGTACCTGGTATCACTTATATACATCAATGTATCTAATTCTGAACATAGCCAAAAATGCAAAATGAGGGTATCTTCAGATAGGGGAGATTTTTCTGCAGATCTGGGACAAACTCTTGGATTTGCAGAAAAATATGAAGATTGTATTAGAAGGCAGGCAAGGGGGATTTAAAATCCTTCAACAGTAAAGAAAACTGAGATCTAGTGACATTCCATTATGAGATCTCAGCCGCCATCTTGGGAATTGCCTACCAACCTGCCAGAGGCATTCTCAGGCGTAGGGCGAAGACAGCTGGGAGAAGAAAGCAATGGGCTCTGAGCACTGGCCATTGGCTTGGGATGGGAGGGAGCCTGGGCAGCCAGCGGTTCCCTCATAGCCCAAACACTGCCACAGTGCTCAGCCGCCCTCATTAATCACAGAGCAGGGAAGAGGCAGGTGTTAAATGGTGGTGGTGTTTAGTGGGTGGGGTGCTGAGGTAAGGGTGCCGCCTTTCCTTCCAGAACTGCTGACCGTGCCAAGGCAGCAAGCAACTGCAACTGGGAGGAAGCAGAGCTGCTGCTGTTGCTGCTCCCCCCTTTCTTCCCCACCTCCGAACATAACAGAAAGTGAGCAGGCATGGCACTCCTGTCTCTGCCCTTCCTTTTCCACATGCTGCCCCACTCTCTGCCAGGGAAAGAAGATGGCAAATGGGAGCAAGCATGGGGAGGCAGCAACAGTAGTCTCCTTCCCCCCATGAGTTCCTCACTGGCTCCTGCTTGTAAATATTTATTATGGAACAGTAAAACTTATTGCCCTTTCAGTCCTCTATAAATCCAAAAGGACTAGAACTGCTGTCTCTTTTAGGAATTCAAATACAGGCTTGATGAGCATTACACCATTTGGGTATAAATTTTCTCCCAAAATTATGAAGGAAAGGATTGGGGAGGGAATGTCTAAGGGTTAATGACCTCTTCAAGTGGCGTGTCTGAAATGCCAAAACTGCTGAGTCCAACATCAGACAGGGTTTCTTCCAATTCTCTGAAAAGACTGGCGTAGGCTCGTTGATTAAAATCCTTACTGGGCAGAAGGTAAACAAGCTCTTGGCCAATGCTTTCAATTAGCTTTGCTTCTGCAACATGATGATGGATCAGTTCATTCAGTTCATCCAGATCACCTATGAAGCAAGAAAGCATGGTCTGGGAGTGCATTCCAATGGTATTTACTAGGGCTGACATACATAAAGAGAAGGCAGGGAATGGCTTCCCTAATTCTAGAAACTATGATGCAGCTCAGTCCTACACATTCACTGCAATGGGATTTACATGTAAACTCTGTGTTATTGTGGGGGTCAATCTGCTGTAACTAAAGGCTACATCAAATACTGGTCATTGTGTGAACAGAGTTCCCTATGTTTTTAAAATCAAATATCAGCCATGTTGGGCCATACAGGTAGGCACCCATATGTTAGCCCCAATGATTCCCTGAGGCCATTTCAGGTTGGGAAAATGGTACAAGGAGGGAAAATCTTAATGCCCATCAGTCAGCATGGTATAGTCAGTGATGGCGAACCTTTTAGAGACCGAGTGCCCAAACTTTGACCCAAAACCCACTTATTTATTGCAACACGGCAACAAAGTGCCAACACGGCAATTTAACCTGAACACTGAGGTTTTACTTTAGAAAAAACAACTCATACATTAACTTAAGATGATCCAAACAAAGTAAGGAAAGCAATCCCAAATGCTTTCATTTACTTAAAATTATTTGGCAGAGAATTCGACACTTTAATGATGGTCTGGGCCTGGCTGGGGCGATGGCACGCGTGCCCACAGGGAGGGCTCTGAGTGCCACCTCTGGCACCCGTGCCATAGGTTCGCCACCACTGGTATAGTGGATAAGAGCAGTGGACTCTAATCTGGAGAACTGGGTTTGATTCCCCACTCCTTCACATGAAGCCTGCTGGGTGACCCTGGGCCAGTCACAGAACTCTCTTGGCCCCACCTACCTCACAAGGTCCCTGTTGTGGGGAGGGGAAGGGAATGTGATTGTAAGCTGCTTTGAGACTCCTTAAAGTGGTGTATAAAAACCTATTCTTCACCTTCTCTCTTACATACGGATATCAACAACTGGATTCTACTTTTGTTGTCTGAAAAGGTTATAGTCTTATAGTGTGCATTCAGCATAAACCGAGCAGAAAATATACGTATATCAACAACTGGATTCTACTTTTGTTATCTGAAAAGGTTATAGTCTTATAAAATCTTCACTGGGGGTGTGCATTCAGCATAAACCGGCTTTTTGGGGGGGCGTATTCAGCTATACTGAAGAGGAAATACCTTTCGGCTTTTTGGGGGGCGTATTCAGCTATACTGAAGAGGATCCAGCCCCAGCCAAGGCTGTGCGAAGCTCTCAGCTCCTGCTGTCCCAGCTGATCTGAGGCTGTGTGAAGCTCTCAGCTCCTGCTGCCCCAGCTGATCCTCTCGTTGCAGCTCTGAGCCACAAGATTTTTTGGAAATAACAAATTTTTCTTGGGTCCGATAGACCTGAACTGAAAACTACCAATTTTTTTGCGTACCCCTAATCTTTTCTACTACCCAAATATCTGACAAGCTGGCTTGCAAAACAATAATTTGACCCAGCTGATGGCCCCTCACAAACAAGAAAGCCTGAGGTGTCACATAGTAAATAAGAACACAGGAACAGCCCACTGGGCAGGGCCAATATATCCAGCATCACGTTTCTGAACATGCCCTCAGACAAGGGCACAATTATGAGAAGAAGACAACAGTCTTTGCTTAGAGACTGGCCTCTGCACCCAGTATTCAGTGGCATACTGCCTCCAAATATGGAGATTCAGTTGAACTAACTTGGCTAGCAGCCACTGATAGACATACTGGCAGTGTCATCCTAAGCAGAGTTACACCCTTCTAAGCCCACTGACTTCAATGGACTCAGAAGGGTGCAATTCTGCTTAGGATGGCACTGAATGTAACCTGATCACATTTCATAACACTGTACAAGCAGTGGTGCAATCTTTGTTCTCACCGTCCAATTCCTGTTCTAGAGTTTCGGCTTTGTTTGCTGGTACACAATTGGAGCAGAAACAAGAACATTTGGATCCCAGGCTGCACGAGCTCTAAAAGCAGATAAGAGAGAGGTAATACTACCACCTTTAACATGCTCATAATACATTTTAAGTACAGAACCCTTATCAGAAGTGAATATTTCATCAGACTTTAAAAAAATGAACAGCATTTCTCTTCAACCTATGGTTGGAAAGTTCTTTAGCTGTTTAGTGATTGCAGATTGGTTTCTACTGGATTTCTGGGAACTGACAATGGGTTTTTTTGGGGGGTAGTTCTATGTGTGTCTATTTGCACTTTGAATTTTATGATTGCATACTCCATGGACTTGTAAGCCACCTTATGTAAAATGGTGGAAAGGTAGCTTTAGAATGGATAACATGTGAATAACAATAGGTGTGTTTGCATGACTTATGCATGTCCACATTGTGAACAGTACCTCATTTGCATACATTCTAATGGCGGCGGGGGGGGGGCTGCATGCAATTTTCAAGGGGGATGAATGGAATTTTGAACAAGCAGAGGTTGTTGCCTGACAGTTGAACCCTGCTTGTTCAAAATGCCAACTGGTCCATTTTCTCTTGAATAAAGCCCCTCACAATAGCTGGTACTTGTTATTCTGTTTAGACATTCTGTACACAGTGCCAAACACTTACTGCATGTTTCCCTCCACAGTCCTGGATGTTTCTCATTTTGCGGACCAAGGTGAGATAAAAGCCTGACCCAAAGGAATTCTTTAGGAAAACAGGTGATCCTGAGCAGTGCAGTTTCCCTTGGGAAATGATAGCAACCCGGTCTCCAAGGATGTCTGCTTCATCCATGTGGTGGGTAGACAGGATGATGGTCCTCCCTAAAAGGAAGATACAGACTCTCTAGCACCACACTGATGGTACACAGGTCATAAGGAATAGCACAGCATTTTCTGAAATGTGGATCTCAAAAAGTTTTCTGGACGGCTTTGCTTAAACAAACTGGGCCCCTGAAAGGATTCAGTAACTTGTGATCTTGCAGCTTTTAGGCAAAAATTCAGGCTATGTAAAACCCCTGAGCTCTGGTCAGAAGAGACTGTTAGAAACAGAGAGGCCTACAAGAGACACCTAAACACATAAAAGGATATAGTAGGTTGTGTAACAAAGCCTGACCCCCTAATAAGATTAGGTCTTTTTGATCAGCTGACTCCTGCTTCTTGCTTCTGGTTATGTCATCTGGCCTTCATCACTGCTTCAACTCGCCCTGCCTCGCCTTGCTCCTTAGGCCTCTTACCAAACTACAACCCCCCCATGATGTCTGCCAGTGTCCATTCTAGTAGGGCTTCTTTGAAGGAGGAAACTCTGAATTAGTGAATTATAGAATTGAGAAAGCAATAAATGCATGATTCAGGAGCAGAAACCGATACTTCAACAACATACTACCTGCATGACAGTACGATCAGCGTTCCTATTTATCCACCCATCCCATTATATAAAATGTCCCTCCCCCTGCTTAATGCAGCTGTATTATCCATTCATTCATGGTGTTTGTGGCAGTTAAGCCTTGCCAGAGACAACACCTGCATTACAAAGAAGATGGGAGTAGGAAAGGGACAGGCGAGAAGGTGGTGGTGGGGAGAAAACTGGTGATGAGGTGATGAGACAGAGACTCACACACAAAGACAGAAAGAAGGTGGGTAAAAATCAAAGACGGGTAAAAAGACAGCACTTCTGTGGTTGACTAATTGGGTAGCTCATTGATGGTGCTGGCAAGAAGAAAGACTGAGTATGCTAAAATTTACCAATTCAAACAAGTCAGCTGGAGGCCCCTCACCTATCATATAATTAGGCCTTACCCTAACAACTTCTTAGGAGGTTTAACATGCAGAAGCTTCAGTGCCTATAAAGTGGGACAACCTATGTAAAGCAGAGAGGCTGAACAAGTTCTCTGCCCTCAAGTGAAAAGTGCATTTGGCTTTGTCATCTCTGCTTACCCTCAATCACTGATCGGCTAAGGCCAACAGAGCTCGACGGTCGGGGGGGGGGCACACTTCCATGTGTACAACAATGAATAAACTGCCTTTGCAATTTAATGGGAAGCTTAATACTTGTACTTCCAGAAGGAACTTTTTTTTTACGCACTCGCACATTCCTAAGCAGGGAGATGCTCCAGGGGCAGCACTTCTTGGGCTTCCTTTTCTGTGGGTGAGAGAGCACACAGGAAACGTTTGATGCCTTTGCAAGAGCTTCTTTATTTACATCCTTATTTCTAACAACCATGAGTGGCCCACAAGTGGGCCAAAAACCTGCCCAGTGAGGCCAGCTACAGGTAGAATATGAGTTTCTGCGCACCAAGTGGGGGGAAGGGGGAAACCTCCAGGTTTGTATAAAAATATAAATTGTTTGAAAAAACAAAACTGGGGAGTTTAAGTGATCAGGGACATCATGACCCCCCAAGAGGTTTGTTCAGCATATTGGATTGCCATAGTAACTCAAAATATTGCAACAGAATGGGTGAATTCAGAAATTAATGTGGCCCAGGAGCAAGCCAAGCTGTGTGGCTCCTGTGGTGCTGCAAGCCAGCCCTGCCGGAGCCGTTCAGCTCATTCCCACCAAGTGGTGCCAATTACGGGCACCTGCACAGGAGGCACCAATGGCCAAGTCAGCAACAATTATTGTTGCCAAGTGGTTCCTGCAGCACAAACAAATCTAGCAAGGTTTGGTTCTGCTTCCTCCCGGCCACCAGCCAACCTCGAAAGCAGAAGCCCACTGGGAACTTTCTCCATAACTTAAACGGCCAGTCTGCCCCTGTGCAAAAACCTAGGCTTGCCAGGTTCCTGGTCAGGGTGGGGGATCCCACACTTTTGCGGGCTCTGGCTTGCAGCTGGCCAGCTGGCTGGTGGGGTAAACCCCGCCCCAAACAGACACCCCCACACATCGTTGGTAACTTGCTGATGTCACTTCTGGAAGTGTTGTCATCATGTTGGCGACGGGGATGATGCTCTACTTTTGGGGCAAAACTCTACAGTTTGCAGCCATTTTTACCACAGAGTTTTGCCCCAAAAGTAGAGCATCACCCCTACATCACCAACATGATGATGTCAGTTCCTGAAGTGATGTCAGTGCATCGCCGATGTACCTGCCCACCCCTGGAATGGTTCCCAAATCCCCACACCAGCAGGAGGAAGGCACCCGGCAACCCTACAAAAACCACCTCTGGCAGGGGACGAGGAGAAGCTAGAACCAGCTTCATCTTGCCTCACTCAGCCACCTATTCCCGCCCCCCATTAGCAAGACTGGAGAAGTGAAGTGGGGAGGGGGGGAGTACAGGTGAGTGGCCAGAAGAGCAATGAGAGTGTCAGACTAGAATCCCCCGGGAGACCCAGGTTCAAATCCCCACTTGTGCCATGGAAGCTCACTGGGTGACCTTGGGCCAGTCGCACTTTCTCAGCCTAACCTACCTCACAGGGTTGTTGTGCAGAAAAATGGAGGAGAGGAGAATGATATAAGCTGCTCTAGGTCCCGACTGGATAGAAAGGTGGGGCATAAATGAATTAAGTAAATAAATAAAAATAAGAGCAGGAAGACAAGATGAGCAGCAGGGGGCAGGGGGAAACAAGCATAGGAAGAGGCGCTAGAGCAAAGGGGGACGTGGGGGAGGGGGGGATGGGATCCTTCCTCCCTGGTGAGCTCTTTTTGGTCCCCCTGTGGGATATTACAGTATACAAGAAAAGCACAGGTGGAGGCAAGGAGGCTTTTCTACAGACATGAGCTCATGTCCGAGTCCAAGAGAAACCCTGAACCCCAAGACACGTCAAGAAAAAGAATGGTCAGCTAGCAGCCATAAAAGTATGACTCTTAGCAGGTAGACTAAACATAAGTTACAGGTTTAGACAACAAGATAACCAACCACATTTGCTTCACTTGAAATCTTGGGCCTTTTCAACACACACTGCTGTCTGTACATGAACGAGAAGTTCTGAAGCAGAAGACTGCCATACACGTAAATCATTTTAAAAAAATCCTTCCTGATGCCAAAATACCTGGACGATACTTCAGTAGCAGATCCCAAATAGATCGTCGGGAATAAGGATCAACTCCAGAGGTGGGCTCATCCAGCACAATCACCTTTGCTTCTCCTACGAAGGCAATAGCAACAGACAGCTTTCGCTGCATGCCCCCTAAAGAACACAGGAATAATGTGGTAGGTATGTGAAGGGTAAAAGATGGAAATTTGAAAGGAGAGCAGTGAGAGGCAAGTAGACTTTCCCAGTTACATGCAGAATGGTTTGCAAAAAAATCAGGAAATGCCTGATGAAGGAAGTTTTGGTTCATGAAAACTTATGCCACAATTAAGCTTTGGCTACAACTGACCAACACAGACAGCCCCATCAAATTTATCACTTGACATATTCCATTAAACCTTCAAAAATCTTTGGTGTGTTGTTCCTGTATGTACATAGATGTTTAGATAAAAATACTTGAATGTAGGATTGTCCAGCCTCGGTGAATGGCTCACTGTGGATGAACTCTGTAAATTAAATGAGATATTGTTCAGGAGGCAGATTTTTCAAGCCAGTAAAGAGGAGGATTGTTGTTGTTGTTGTTGTTGTCGTCATTTAAACTATGGGAGGGAGTCAGTTAGACTCGTCATCTCAATTGTCAAAACATGCTAGACCAAACCCAAACTAGAAGCTACAAGTTCCATGGTTCTTTCATAAACAGGCACTTTTAAATAAGAAATGTACAAACAGGTAAATGAATACCCTTAATCCTTTCCAAACAAGTCAGAAAATGTTGAGTAGCTTGTGATTTTTTACATGTAGAATCATGAAGTACTAGAATTTTTCCTACCGTTCATTAATTGCATCCCCTTTACAAAAATGTATAATGTGCTGGCTTGTAATACCTACAGCTAAACCCTACTTGAACAAGCACTGACTCTTTTCTGTAGGAAAAATATTTCAGCTGATAAAGTTTTTAAAACTAATATATTATTTTCCATATTTTGCTAACATGAAAACTAAAGTAGAACCTAATACACTGAGTGCAGTGTTGTGCAGGAAATGGAGATTTCATCATTTAACAGCAGCAAAATGGAAGAGGGAAGGATCAATTTGCAGTGGAGATGCACTGTGGGAGATGCTTAATCCTGTTGGAAATATGTGTGTTGCAAGGTATAACATTCAGTCATTATAGGGTTAATGTGTGTTTACCTGGCAGAAAGCCAATGGGAAGAAAGCCCGGGAAACTGAAGCCTATTTACAATCATTTGTTAATGCATTCAGGTGATTTCCTTCTAGGGGTCAAGAAGAAGAAGAATCTCCATTGTTGTAGACCATGCAGTCAAAGTGTAAAGATGTAGTCTTAGGTGTCTTTGTTGTTTTGTAGATTTCCTGTGAACCCTTCCCTTAGAAATAAAGATCTTTACATAGAAGAAAATGCCTCCTCTCCAGTGAAGCAAAGATCCACGGCAATCTCTGAATATTTAACTATTTTGCCCATTTCCCCAACATATCCTATCCTCTTCCTTTCTCTGAAAAGAAGCAAACATGCAGGGGAACTTTTGCCATGGAAATAGCAGCTGTGGAAGTAGTTCTAGGAGACAAGCAGAGGCAAGAGGAAGCACATTGCCCACCACTTTCCCCCTGCAAAATAGTGCCTCTTTCCACGGTTTGGAAACTTTTTCTAGAGTCCATCAAGGCTCATAGGGGCTGGAGCATGCATGGTACAGCGTGGCGACGGGCAGATTCTCGGAACGCTCCGAGCTGCCCGATCCCTTTTTCGCCTCGTTAGGAGCCCCCTGGTTTCGGGTGGACTCCACTGGACCTCCTGTAGAGAGGGCTGGCAGCAGGGGGCTTGTTTCGGCCCCTCCTTGCCCTGGCAATGCGAGGGGGGTGTCTCTTTATGCCCCGAAGCAGAGACAACTTGCGGAGTGGAACATGGTTGCCATGTTTTCCACATAGCCATGACCATCCGTCTTTTTAACTTTCTTTTGTTGTTTTGTCGGTTTGAAAGATGCAGCAATGCAGCGGAATGGAGAAAGAACATTGAGAAGGGAACTGTGAGTACATACGGCTTTGAATTTTGTGAAGAGAGGATGGCAAATGAAAGATCCCCGAAGCTTCTCTCCCAAAATGGAGAAGGAGAGTGGCCGGAGAGCGAGTGAGAGTAAATTATATAATCACTGTTGTGTGATATTTGGCCCCGGGGAAATGGTAACTTTCACACTTTGGTAACGAATGACAGTGGACATGAAGTAGCTAAATCAGGTTTTCTAAAGGAATGATCTCAGAGTATAAATGAACTAATTTGAAGCCAGGAATTTTTTTTTTTAAAATGATGACATCCACAACAATGGAAAAGGAAGAGGAACTTGATGAAAATACATTAGTGGGAGAGATATCAGTTGAACAATTCTTGAAAATATTGAGAGAAGGAATAAAAAAGGGGATTGAAGAAGCATGTGTAAATTTACTACAAAAATCACATAACCCTCAACTGGAAACAGAAAGTAAAGAGGAGACTCTACTCAGAATGATATGAAGAACCCAGAATATCAGGCTGAGAAAGCAGAGGATGAAATATTAAATCCACCAACCTCAATGCTGGGAAAGAAAAGAATAAAGATAGAGACATCAAAAAGGAAAATGCAAAGAATACTTCCCAGAAGGAAAGGCAAATATAGAAGGAGAAGAAGAAAGCGACCTGCGAGTAAATTTAAAGAGGACAGTACAACATGTGAACAGGATGGGTTGAGAGAACAAAGGAGGACTTTAGAAATAATTTGGCATACCTGCAAAGAAAGAAGGCACAAAGACATGTTACAAAAAATAGATTACAAACTCACAGGAGGAAAATTAAGTTATATGGAAGAAATGAAATTGGGGTTTTCCTCTCTGATAGGTGTTGCTTGAATGAATTGATTAGTGTATTATTTAAGATGCTGTGGGTGGGTAGGTTTTAGTTAGAAGGTAATGATTATAATATGGGTGTTATAAGTTTAGCTGGAATGATTTAGCGCTTTAAAAATTGCTTTTTGATAGGTTTTGTTGAAATGAATTGACTTTGAAAAGATTATTATGATTTAAGATTAGTGTAATATCTCTGATGTT